GTGAGCTGTCCAGGAGGTGGGAGGGTCTGGGACTGATTGGCTGGAATGTGTCTGCTGACTGTGAGGTACAGGGTCAAAGTTTACTCAATGATGAGTCCGTGGCGAACCGTTCGCGAACCATTCGGCGAACCGTTCGGCGAACCGTTCGGGACATCACTAGTAGGGACTTCTAAGCAAGCACCAGAATTTTAAATTAAGCCCTATATCTAACTGGAATCCAATGCAGGGACTGACAGAGCGGGGAGGCGTGGGAGGTGTGAGCGGACAGGAAAATGAACCTCGCCGCCGCATTCATTATAGATTGCAGCGGTGCAAGCTGGGAACAATGAGAAGGGTATTGCAGTAGTCAAGGCGAGAGAGAACAAGAGCATGGATCAGCACCATAGCCGTGTCTGGTATTAAATAAGGGCGGATGCGAGTTATGTTTTTGAGATGGAAGTGACAGGATTTGGCGATTGATTGGACATGAGGGGTGAAGGAGAGGTTGGAGTCAAAAAGAACACCCAGGCAGCGAGCCTGTGAGGTAGAGGTTATTGTAGCACCATTGACTTGCAGGGAGACAGACACGGGAGTAGTAATACTTGAGGGAGGAAAGACCAGAAGTTCTGTTTTGGACAGGTTGAGTTTAAGGAAGTGGCAGCCATCCAGTTGGAAATCTCAGAGAGGCAGTCAGAGACACGATTCAAGATGGGCAGAGACAGATCAGGAGAGGACTAGTAGATTTACACCCTGTTCCAAATTATTATGCAAATTATATTTTTCTCATTTACCTAAATAATTGATGTAAAAACAGTCAGCATAATTCTCATGTTATCAACAAACCTCCTAATGATAACAGTATTTCTTTAAACATAAAAAACTTACAATGCACTGTTCCAAATTATTTCGCACAGTAAGTTTCAAAGAACTGAAAATTGTCATTTGTTGTGTTTGCAGCATATTTTCTGAAATCAAAAGCTATTTCAATCAAACTTATAACAACATTTTAACTATTTAAACATTTTAATAGGTCACGTTACATTTTAACATAGGACCCCTTATTTGATAGAAGCTTCACAAGTCTTGCATCCATTTTACTTGTGAGTTTTTGGACAGTTTCTGCTTGAATTTGTTTGCAAGATGTCAGAATAGCCTCCCAGAGCTGCTGTTTGGATGTAAACTGCCTCCCACCCTCATAGATCTTTTGCTTGAGGATGCTCCAAAGGTTCTCAATAGGATTGAGGTCAGGGGAGGATGGAGGCCACACCATGATTTTCTCTCCTTTTATCCCCATAGTAGCCATTGATTGAGAAACTGCTATGTTTATAAATGGGTTAATCCAGCCTCCAAATCCTCTAGTGGCTGTCTCATTGAAAATCACAGTGAGAAGACGCAAGCATCCATAGGAAAGCATTGTAAATGCTTTCCTATGAGACAGGCTGAATGCGCGCGCAGCTCTTGCCGTGCATGCGCATTCAGCCGAAGAGGAGGATCGGAGGCGGAGAGGAGGAGGAGAGGAGAGCTAAAAAGGTAAGTTTAACCCCTATACTCGCCATCCAGCCTGGCGGGAGGGGGACCGTGAGGGTGCGGACGAGTATGTTTTCCTGGCACTATAGTGGTCCTTTAACGCATGTAATGCAATACATCTGGCGACCACTAGAGGGACACATATACTTCTTAACTCTTCCATGGTGGAACGCATCGC